GAAACTGGTTTTCCGACGGATTTCGGGGTGGTTCCGACGGAATTTTTCCGTCGGAAATGACCCTTTTTCTAGTAGTGTGAAAACCCTAAACCCTCATCCTCAAACCTAAAGGAAGCAGAAAGTAAAAACAAAAAGGAAGAAATTGTTGGTTCAAGTGTTCTCGAAAGAGTACGAGAATAGAAAGAGAAGAAACAAAAAGAAAATTCTCTAGAAGAACACATTCAGGACGTAGAGGATTTTGTTCAAGGAATTCAGTCAAGGGAAGAGGATGATAATGAGGAAGATGGAGAGGATGAAGAAAAGAACAATATAGAGGAGAGAGAGGAAGCTGAGGACGAAGAGGACGATGAACAATCGAAATTCACTGCAAGTGCCGATAGGTATGTTATTGGCCATAGACTTGATTTATCTTGGTGCAAGAAGTCTAGGTTTTTAGAATTTCTTGATTTAATTAAATTTCAAGGGTGGGAGTATTTGTTAACTACTGCATCAAAGAATGTTAAGTATCCTTCTGCTATGAATGAATCTTGTGGAAAATTTGAAGTTTAACAAGGAAAAATATCTAGTGTAGTTAATAAAAAGAAAATTGAGTTTGATGTTCCAAAATTGGGGTCAATTCTGAAAGTGCAAACAAGAGGGTTATGAGATGTACATTAAGGGGAAAGGAACTGTAAAGGTTGGTGAGTTTCTAGGTGGTGACATTGTTGAATCGTTAGGTGGTAAAAGGGGGAAGAACATTATGAGTCACAATAATCTGAGCCAAATTGTTGTTTAATCTGGTTAGGAAAACAATTATGCCTAGAACTCAGAAGAAGAGTGAAGCATGCTTGATGGATATGGCTGTCATCTTTTGTCTCTCTAAGAAAATAAAGATTAATTTTCCTTCTTTGATGTATCAACATCTAGCACACTGTGTTCCAGGAAAGAACAAAGTGGGCTATGGGCTCGACTATCTACTGTCTTTGAGTCTCTGGGAGTGAAGCTCAAAGGATTTATGATGGATTGGAGGAGAAACCTGAAAATGTAATCAATGGTGAGACACTTCAGGTTATTAGCCTGGAAGTAGTGAATGTAAAGGTTAGGAGAGTAAAAGAGAAAAAGACAGCAGGAGGGAAGAGAAAAGTGAAAGAGGTCCCTGAGAAACATGTGAGGAAAAGCAGGAGGTTGTCAGCTAGCACTGCTCCTAAGACAAGTATGGAGGAACCTTTAGAGTTGGATGCTGAAGAGGACAATGTGTTAGCAGGAGGCTGAGCTCACTGACAGGGCTGAAGTGGCAGAGAAGCAGCTTAAGGCAGCCACAGGGCAAGTGAAGCAGTTGGAGAAGAATGTACAGGGACTTGAGAAGAATCTCAGGTCTCAGAAGGGTGGAGTGAGTTCCAGATGGCAATCAAACGCTTGGAAAACAAGCTGGAAGCCTCTATGCAGCAAACCAAGGAGGACAACAAGAATATTCTTGAGCTCCTTCAGACCTAGCCTAACTCCTCTCCAGCTTAGCCTACTTAGCCTATCCTAGCCTATTTCCTCTTTATTTCAGTCATGAACATTTTCAATTTCTATTTTGGTTTTTAAACAATTTATTTTGGTTTGTAATATTTTAAATTTGTTCTGCAGGATGTTAATCTTTTGGTTTTTAATGAATATTTTGGAACTCTGCCTATACATGTGTGTATTAGTATGTTATGAAAGCTTATGCAGGAAAGTGGAACTAACTTCAGGGAAGTTAGGATCGTTGTCTTCAATTTCCCACACTCAATGAATTGTTTGTGGGGCTGTGGCTAGATGTTTATTAAACTTGAAAAAACAGGACTTTTTAATAATGCCAAAAGGGGGAAAAGAAGAAGCAAACTTGGAGGCAGAAGTTGTTCTGGGTTCCTGTTGAGAAAGTATCAGAAATTTCTTCTGATATAATGCCAGTAGCTTAGTTTTATTTCTGTTCTGTTTATTTTTGTTCTTCTTGTTTTTGTTTTTGTTTTTTATTTCGATTTCAGTTGTGTGTTTACTTTATGTCAATAAACATAAATACAAAAACACGCCCTTCTATCTGTTCTAACTTTTCAAAAGAGTTTGCTTAAGTTTGTCATCATCAAAAAGGGGGAAATTGTTGAAGCTTAAAGGTTTTGATAATGATGGACTTAAATTAAAGCAAACTAAACTCATAAAGGTTTATTAGTGTTTGATTAGAACAGGTGAATTAGACCTTGGTGGTGGAAGAATAAACCAAGCTAAGAAGACATGAAGAGGCCTTTTGAGAAAAGTCAAACAAAGTAGAAGAAGAGTTCTCTAACAAGAACTGAGTTCCCTAACAGGAACGTTCCCTAACAGGAACGTTCCCTAACAGGAACTTGAGGACAGCAAGCTGAGGTGTCAACTTGGTCTGCGCTTGAAGACAATAAGTTCTGGAAAGAACTTAACCTGCGTGACGCCTAAGTAGTCCACAATTACAGAATCGTGGCACAACAATATTTATTTAGTTAAGATTTTATCTTCTAGATTTATTGTTAAATTTGTTAAGTAGATATACATGAAACCTATTAGAAGCGCGACAAGTTTCTTGGCAAATCTAATTAAAACGGGAAAGATAAAAGATAGATTTTAAGAAAAGATATTATAATTGTTTTTATTTCTTAAAATCCGTTTAACAAAAAGATATTATTCCTTTTGTTAAATATTTCTTTATCTTATTTTTCCGAAAAGATTTTCTTTAAAATGATTAAAACCACGTTTTGAGATTTAGTTAAATTAACTTATTTATCTTTTGAAAAACCCTACTTATTTATTTTTTTATTATTTTTTTTTATTATTTATAGCACACATTTTTTTTTTTTGGTTTTTTTTTGTTATTTTTTTTTATTATTTTTTATTATTGTTCTTTCTCCTTGGTTATTTTGTTTTATTATTTTTTGTTATTTTTTATTATTTTTTGTTATTTTTTATTATTATTTATTTTTTTTCTTTTTTATTTATTTATTGCTTTTTTTTTATTTTTTATTTTTATTTTTTATTTTTATTTTTTTTATTATGATGGTGCCAATGAGAAATGTATTCAGATATCATTGTAAAATTAGCATGTAAATTATAATTGTATCTTGAGTAATTAAATGATACCGGTATATGATGAAACCGATAAATAATATTTATATGCAGAAAGAATGGACTTGTGAATAAGGGATTAAAATATATGTCCATTTTGATGCCAACACAATGATAATGATCAAAAGTTTATTATGGACCAGAAGTTCAATGAAATATGGATATTTATATCTGCACTGTATAGTGTCTTGCATTATTTCGAGTCTTATGTCTATGTCCATATGTGAGTCATAGGTTAATGAATTATCATTGCATATGTCGAAAGTTGTTAGATGCATTACGCCATTACTCATTGTAAACTTTGTTTAATATGTTATCATGTTTTCTATATCTCAAATTACATGCATTAATTTCTATATAATATTTGTGGTATATATAATTGTTTATTATATATATATAGTAAGACATATTTACAACTTAGATGAAAAATTAGAAAAACATAATTATATTCCAATGGGCTTATAATGATGATGAAATTATTGATGATGTCGATTTAATAATAGCATGTTATGAATCATGTAAGAAGAGTTCTTGAAAAACTTATATACGGCGTATTTAAATACCCAGCCTTACATATTTTATATCTTGAATATTGCAATTATTATCAAATTCTTGAAAAGTCAATATGACTACATCATCGATATCTTAACCTGAAGTTTGAGTATGTGAGATTCAACAAGTTTTTGTATTATTGGCAAACTCTCATATAAAACATGAAATACGTATGATAATATCAAGTGTTGCCATGAAATTTTGATTGGATAATGTGATCAATTATTAATCATCATTTTGTAGTATATATGACCTCTAGAAGAAGTCATAATTGTTATGACAATTCAAAACAAAACTATCGAATGAAATAGTGATAAACACTTGTATTATTTCCACAAGGATGAAGAAATGAAGACGTCTTAATAAGTTCATGTGAAAATTTGAAAATTCAAGTTTGATTTGAAAGAATTAATTATCAAGAAATGATATTCTGCTATATCGGAGAAATTATCCAACGAACCATATGACGTCGAATTCATTACATTAGAAGATTTCACGTTATGTATTCATCAAGGGGAGAAAATACGCACTGCACACTTTTTCCCTTGACCATGGTTTTGTACCTAAGATTTTTTACGAGACAACATCCGAACGTATTTAGATAGATCTAGGGTTTTATATTCTTATCCAAGGAAACCCTAATTATATTATATTATATTATATATATATATATATATATATATATATATATATATATATATATATATATATATATATATATATATATATATATATATATATATATATATATATATATATATATATGGAATAGAAATATATACCGATCAGTTCTCTCTCACATTTCTACTTATTTTATAACAAATAGTTACATGTTACCATGTTTTTTTTAAAAATAAATAAAATAAAATAAAATAAAATAAAATTGTTTGAAATAAGTAAGCATTAAACAATTGAACCACGGATCCCTTTGTTCTCAATTTTCCGAGAAAGCTTCGGAATAAAGGCGGAAATACGTGAAACTGGCGTTCCACGGAGGTCCTGTATTTAAGATATAAAGGAATCAAATACTTTCTCAACCCCATTTAAGGAGTATACCCCTAATACAAGCTAGCACATTAGCACGCTTTAATGCAGCGTAATGCATATTACTCTGTACTTAACTCTATTCTAACGTAATTTCATGCCCCAAAGCTAGAAGATTAAGGACATGCCGTATTTAACAAAGTACTCGTATTAAAGACTACTCTTTAATCAGTATCCTGTGAAGAACAATAACAATAAACTTTGACAAGTCTACTGAACTAAATCAGCTAAGTAGCTAACTTGCTCAGTTGCAGCTAAACCAAGCATGCACTAACCAAACAGATTCAATTAACTAGTCTAAACAAGCCAGCATAAATAAGGAGTAGTTGCAATCGAGTCACATAATCTAAAAGAGAACTCACATACATACATCTAATATGACCAAGGCACAGCAACTATGGCTTTCATTGCAGCTGCATGAAACCACGTACTAATTGTGGAGAAGGTAAACAGCAAAGAAAGCCCCAGAAGGCTGGTGAAGAAATTGATATACAGCTGAAGTACAAAAACAAACAACAAAACCTATTTTACTGTAAATAGAATATCGATAGTAGAGCAGTAATGCATCATTTGGACCAAATCAATCACCACATATATTACTATATTACACATCAATAAGGTAAGCTCTATCCAACTTCCCGAACCTTAATTGATACCGTGTCGATTTCTATGAAGCATTAAGGCTTCCTAACATCACCAGTTTGATGATGAGGCTGCTGTGTCATATCTGAAGCTGCCATACCAATACCTTCATTTTGATGCCTCTGCCAGCCACCAGTATCAGCCTTGGAGTGGATCCAGTAATAGATGACAGACCCAATCATTGACAACAATGTCAATGCGGCTGCTGCAGCAAAAACTCCCTTGCGGAGGGTAGCGCATGATAAATGTGCTCCACCAAAGACTCCTTGGTATTTTGTGTGATATGCATTTTTAACTGAACCAGCTAACAAGCATGTTTCAGCGCCCAGGAAGGTCACCCTGCAAGTAATTAGACGATACTTGAGCAGCTGATAAAAAGAGATATATACAAATTGATCAAAAACTTTACTATACGTTATAGACAAAAGCAGGTACGGAATTAGTGAATTGTACTGGCATTGGATGAAATTCTGAATACGGTCTGATCTAAAGATAAGATCATTTCAATTGGACACACAAATGCACAGAGGGTAGTGGCTTAAACAAGACATGAAACAGTAAAGAAGTGCTGCTAGAGTCTATAGGCAATACTCTGACCAACATTTGTATATTATACAGCAGCTAGACCACTTTTTCTTATGCTACCACCAAATAATTATTGGAGATCATGATCTTCTTCATCAGAGTGCTACAACTAACAAAAAGAGAATCATCCGTGAACAGTATAATATGATGTTCCAAAGAGTTTTAGCTCTTGGAGGTGTATTATGCATATAAGAAATTCTGAGATCTCAGTCAATCCTACATCTTGTCTATTATCTGAACATAGGAGCTCAAAGTTTTTTAAAAAGTCATGCAATCTATGCTTCATCATTTAATTGCATGCTTGTAGCCCAGAAGGCTTCCTAAGAATACCAAAATCAAAAGTAACCAATCTTTCTAGAATGGTTTTCTTAGCACTTCACTCACTCAACTACAAAAACCAAGCGTATTAGTATTGGCCAACATATAGGCTTCAATTTAAACAACGGGATGATTGTAGGGTGCTCCCTTAAGATGAAATGTGCATTGATTTTCATATCTAGTGATCCCCACGTGATTCATGAATCCTCTTGCAAGCATCCTTTAATTTTGTGAGGGTATGGCTACATAAATCGATCAAAAGGCTCTAAACTGATCTAGGCATTAGGTACAAGTTAGGAAGTCCAAGCAAAATAGGGCCGAAAATACACTTCCCCTATTTTCTTTTTTCCAATTGCAAAATTGCCTCCTGACACGCACTTTAGGCAATTAGTCAAGTTTAGCAGACAACTTTAAACACCTAATACCCTTACTTTACCCTCTTACAAGTGGTCAAATTATTTTTAAAAGTTGTTTATTTACCTTCTCTAATTGCGTCCTCAAAGTGCATTTTATGAAACAATGTTGCAAATTAAATATAAAAAAGGATAGAATATATGATGGTAACATTAGTAAGGTATCAAAGGAAAAATAGTTCAAGCAACCTTTAGTATGCTCATTGTTGGTCTGTTGGAGTGTTGGTAGGTTTGCATTGTGGTTATCCTCATCTAATGGCCAAGGTTGATGTCACGTAGATATTGGGAAATAAAACCGGATTTGACAATGACAACAATACACCTTATTCAACCCAGATAAGAAGATGAGGGTAGTGGGAAATGTGAGGATGTCAAAATCAACATGTCTAATTAACACTATTAAAAGTTTCTTAGTCAAGTTAACATTGAATGACCGAGAAACTTGCATGTTTAGTTACAAGCTCTTCACCCCCGACTCCCTGAGTCTTACCCAAGTAGTTTGCACAACTCACAACAGCTATATGTTCACTACAGAACCTGAAGTTGAAATGCATAACTCCAGCACCAATTCACTTTAATGATTTGCTATGTATTTAACTTCATAATAACTCCAATCACATTTCCAATCCAAAAGCAACTTCAATTCTCCAAATAAGTGATCCATGATTACACATTAGAGGTGAAGTGAATTCAGACCAAGCAGATACTCAGAAAACAGAATTAGTGAATGCATTCGATGCCGGGTCAGGGTAAATTTATATCTCCAATGAACACTTGATGAACTTATATTCTCAGTAGTCAGTACATAATTCTACATAACACCACAAAACCAGCTGATAACATTCAACCCAGAATACATACTAGTAGTTGATAGCAAATTCAGCAACACACATTTCTCATTTATCTTGACAATCCACGTCTTTTTCCTAAGGAAAATAGGGGTACTCTAAAACACAATAACCATGCTTTACATTTATATTATCAACCCCAACTTCACACCACGAAAAAAGGCTGTATTTCGAGTATACATATTCCACCCATCAATCATAGTTGAAAACACTCTAGTAAAACAAATTTCTTACCTTTCCAATCAACAAAAGAAATCAATAATCCCAAATTACAGCACAACACATTTATATCAAATTCAAATTCCTAAAACCCTAACAAACTAAATCAAAAGGGTATTACCAGAAATCATCAAAAATCACTAAAATTAGAAAGAAATTGAAAAATAGCAAACTAACCATGAAAAAATGAAGAAGAAGATGGCACAAGTAGTGGACCCACCAACAAGACCTTTACCAAAACAGAGACACTTAGTAACACCATGAACAACCAAATGACTAATTAACAGCGAAAAAATCGCAGCTACTCCGTACAACGTTGAAGCATCAGTACCGTACTTACAGTACGTATGCTCATCGTACTGGTCTGGTACAACCTCGGCCTGAAACCGACAAAATTTAAACAAAATCAAAATCAAACAAAGGAAGTACGGAAGAGGGGAAAAGTAGAGAGGTGTGTTACCATACTGCGGCGGCGTTCGGCGCCGACAGCAAAGACGAAAGCAAGGAGGTGGAGTGCGATGACGATGACTAAAATAATGACTGAAACTGCCATTGTTGGTATTTTCTCTCTCTTGTGTAAGTGAGTGAGTTGAAGTTTGCTCTCTTTTGTAATTATTACTTTACTTTGCTATTTTGATTATGAAACGGGAAACAAGGAAGAGTGTGCGGTGTGCTGCTAGTTGGGCCTCCACCCTACACCGTAGACGGAGGGGGACGGGTCGGGCTTTGGCCAAAAAAGGCTCATGTGGTAAGTCGGGTTGAGGTCTAACTTTTTTTTTTTTTTTTTTTGGACAATAGATCCATATAACGAAAAATATTCTTATAACCAAAAACCAACTAAAACAACAAACTAAGGGTCTGTTCTCATTGACTGAACTTAGCTGAACTGAACTCAGCTGTACTGAACTGAACTGAACTGAAATGAATATTTTATAAGAGAAGGAAATTAGGAGCTGAACTGAACTGAACTGAATTGAGCTGAACTGAACTGAACTGAACTGAACTCAGCTGAACTGAATTTCAACGTAAGAGAACAGGCCCTAAGTGACAGGAAAACCAAATAAACAGAAAGCTACATCAAAAAACATCTCCTTTCGCTGGACACTGTAAGAGTCGTCTGTAGCTGACGAATCTCGCTTACGTTTGCAACCTACCTTAATCCTGCAAAATAAGAAACGGTTAGAAACACGCATTCTGCTACTTGATTTCCGCAAGCCTAGAGATGGATAGCGACGTAAAAAGCTGGATGATTGGATGATAGGGACCGCACTTAAAACCGACCATCGCAAGCGGGATTAAAATTCAAATGAGGCAAGCCAACTGGATGACTAATATGGACCGACGGATAGGAAAACTCTGAAGCTATGGGATCATCTAGGAGAGGAGGATCTTGTTGTATAGGAGTTGAATCATCTGTCATCAAGGTATGTGGGGAAACATCTTGATGACTCAAGAAAGGAGATTCCTTGCATTGAAAGGAAGCCTCTGCTTCCCAAGATTCGTAACCTTGGAGGGCCTCCGCCAAGATAGGTTTTGATACCCGAACAACTCGGATAGAAATAAAAGAAAAGCAAGCAGAATAATAAAACTGAAGCTCTCTGCCCGAAGCAATATTCCCGAAAGTTTCCGTCGGAATCATCATACAAGATTTACGATTCCGAGAATTAACAAACTTGTGATGACGCTTCTCATCCATAACCGAGCCATCTAAATCATTATTATTTGACGCCAACGGAAAGGATCCAGTAGATGGACAAGCTGGGGATTCACCTAAACACCCCACATATTGAGTCGGTTGCGCCATGCCCTATAAAGGGTCCATCTCCATGGGAACCGAAAGAGAGCCGTCCAAAGAAGCACAAGAAGAATTTTCCTTATTCTTCTTAGAGGAAGCAACATCACCAACATCCAAACTCCTTTTCACCTTAGCTCCGGAGTGTAGCAGATTGGGTTTGCACACAGGAGAAAAAGCCTTAACTTCACACTTAGGCTCTAGGCTCGGGAGTGAACTCACACCACAATTTTCAGTACCTCTACCACAATCCCTTGAAATTTTCGATAGAACCAAAATTCTAACACGATCCAGTTCTCGCGAAATTTCCTGATTAGAAGGATCTAACCGAGAAGCAAGTGACAAGTCATAATAGGCCTAAGATAAACATCCCAACTTTGATGCAGCAACAACTCGCCGAAATAAACCTTTAATATTATTGCCATCAAACTCAAGCACTAGAGAACAAAGTTGTGAAGCTTGAGAGAAATGGTTACTTCGAAGAGCACATGCAGCCATATTCAAATTTAAGGAAAAGGCAAGGTCCAAGTACAAGGAATTCCCATCACTAGAAAGGGGCACAACAAAACAAAGGACTTTAACAGCCATATGATATTGCAAATAAGCATTTCCAAAGTCTTGTTGACGGAAGTAATTATTACCTGTTTCTTTTATAGATTGACAACTCCATCAGGAATTCCGATTCCCATAAGAACATTAGCAATCGAATCATGGCTATCCTTATCATTTAAGTGAAAGGACAATAACTGTGATTTAACCAATCCAAAATCCATTTAGATACTAGGCGTTTACACTGCAAACACACTCCCCACCTAATGAAACCAACACACACCAAATTCACAAGGCCCAACCACCACAAGGCTCCTCAAGGTCAAAGAAACCCAACTTAAACAACCAAACAACAACACAAAGTATGTATACCTTATTAATTTGTACACTGAGAAAGAAGAAAAACACACTAAGGAATTGAAGCAAAACCAACCATTGTCCAACTCACCAAAAAAAAGACCACCACCGAAGGACTCCCCCGAGAACAACAAACCTATACGAGCACGGCAAAACCAAGGTGTGGGGGATGGTAGCTCACCGGCGACGGCAGAGGAAATGGGCAGCGAATCTAGTCGCCGGCGAGCTATGAACGGTGGGTTTGGTGGGCTGGCGGTGGGTCGGTGGGATAAGAATAAGTTTGGCGGTGGAGGGATAAAGTTGCTGTCAAAAATTCGTCGATCGCTATTTTGGGTCAAAGTCGGGCTGATTCAAAATCCAAGAAAATAAAATTGGCCTGGGTTGGGATCGAATTCAGACTAAAACATCTGTCCAAAGCAAAAAACTCAATTCAAGAATTATAGAATTTAAAAAATTATCGAGGATACAACTTTTGCCCGGTATTTCTAAAATAAAAAAACATTTTGATTATTCTCCAGTAAAACAAAGACACTAATCTTCCATAAATTAGACATAACCAGTTGGTAACTTGTTCGATAAGTTAAGTATTACACGTGTTGCATTGTAATTGGTATATATGGTGTGTTTTAAAACAATTTTCTTATTAGTAAAATTGATTTAATCTTTTAAAAAACTGATTAAAAAAAATAAAGAATTCCACTCCCCTTCACCAGTCATGACTAGGGACGACAATTAGGTGGTGCAGTGCGGGTACCCCTCCATACTCGCACCCACCAAATTTTATTTATACTCACTATTCGTGGTTGGTAATAATTCAATACTCACACCCGCCTAAAGTGGGAATAAACCTAGACACAACCCATGTGGATATCCACTATTTGTTTTTATTCGCTAACTTAACAACATTTTTTTAAAAAAAAATTCTACAGAACATGTCATTTTGTCATCTCTAAATTGTTGTAAATATATAATTTAATAGCATATTAACAAGGTAGTAGTTAATTTGTGATAATAATACAATAAAAGTTGTAATAAGTTGGCAGGTAATTAAGTGGGTAGGTAAGTAATAGGTTGAGTATGACATCAAATCCGCCACCTACCCACTACCCACGAGGCCACGATGGGTATAGTTATAATAGTATGACTTTTATACCTATATTCGTCTACTTATTCGTCAAATTTGGACCCATACCCACTTTAATTGAGGCGGGTGTGGTGTGACCGTGTGAGACACACATTTTTATACCCACCTACCATCCTTAGTCATGACGCCAACCTGCCACCACCAACCTTCGCCTTCCCCTCTAGAGCAACCCATAAACCCCCGTTCCCCTTCCCTTTCCGTTTAGCTAAATTAAGGGGTGGGGGGTTTTGGTTTAGGAGTGTTGTGGGTTTTCGATAGGGTGGGGTTGGGTTCTGATTGAGTAGGCGTGCGGGGTTTCCACGTGGCCCGGGGGGGTCAAGTGGATTTAAGGGTTTTTGGTTTAGATGTTTTATGGAAGGTTATTGATTGGTTGGGCGGGTTATTGGTTGGTTGGGCGGGTTTTTGGGGTGGTTTTGAGGGCAGAAAAAGGGCAGTGGCCTAAGGACAAGGACAGGATTACTGAAAAAAGGAACGGGAACGAGAACGAGGAGGTGGGTGGCTGAACAAGGAAAGGGGAATATGAAGGATGATGATGATGTAGATTACGGGATGAGGGTGGGGTAGGGTGCGGTGGCCGAAGAAGGATTTCAAGCTAATGGGTTTGGGTAGGGTGGGGTGGCCGGTGATGGGGTTAAGGAAAAGGGTTGCTGAACTGGGAAAGAGGATTGGAGGGGAGGGAGGTTTTTTTTTTTTTTTTTTTTTTTTTTTGTAAATTAAGTTTAAGAAAAATAAATATGGTTTTTTTTACTAAAAAAAATTATTACAATTAAAAAAAAAAACTTCTAACCTATTGTGACATGTGTCATTCCTTAACCAATGAAATAGGTTAGTAACGTCAAAACAAAGTCTCTCTCTAGAATTCTAGAGCAACTCTATCTAAACATAACTGATGTACTAAATAGCTTAAATTTTTTTCCTATAGCTTCAGCTTCAATCAAGTCATCTCACAAAAGAATGAATGTAAATCCTTCTGTTTCTTAAATATAAGGAAAATGGTCCAATATTTAGACCAACGAAAGAAGAAGAATCAAAGGCGCTAAATGATAACACTATTCTGGTGGTAGGCAAATTTAAAGATTCGAGGGGATCGAAAGAGCATTCACAATAGATTAGATTCAGAGCTGGATCTACACACTCATCCTAAAGGTTTAATGGGCTGATTATAGTGGTAAAGTGGATGGTCTGTTTCTTAATTTTGAAGTTTATGAATGACGAAGGTTGTAATGCTTTACTTTGGTATGGTTATGGGAACTATAAAGGAGCTCTTATCATTTTTAAGAGATGTTTGCTTGAACATGCTTTGAGGACAATGAGGAGCGTATATTTGGGTTCAAGTGGAGGGGCTGTCTTTACACTATTGAACAATCTCTATTGCAAGCAGAGCTTTAGCAATAAAAGGGAGAGTCCTCTGTTTTGATAAGGACTCGTTAACTTCCCCATTGAGAGCGATCATTTAGAGCTAAAGTCTAACTTAGTCTAAATAGACCTTTAGTTCCAGGTTTTTATTTTGAGTTTGAGTAGGGGATTTATGAGTGGGTTGATTTCAGATATGAAGGAGTCTTTGTGCTCCGTAGAGTGTATGGGAAAATAGGACACAAGGAGAAATGCTGCAAATTATGCTCTCAAAAGAGAAGCAGAGAATTCCAAGCAGCACGATGTTTGCGGCTTACGATAATTATGGGGAAATCATAATTGATCCCAAATACTTGCCTCTTTACTCGAATAATGTACTAAAGAGGGTAGAGAGAAATAGAATTTCCAAGCTCAATCTTGTTGAATTGCAAGACTCTAGAGAGAGTTAAAGGAGATAGCAAGTCTGAGAAAGATTGGATTCCCGAAAGCCCTGAAGTTTCCATTTAAGACTTATCCAAGGATGCAAATAATGATGCGGATAATGATGATGGAAGTTCAAGCTCGTCCCATATGAAGCAGGAGGAGGAAGGAGAAGAACATAATGACAACGATGATGATCAAGATGGAGATGATCCTTCGGAGGGGGAAGATTGACAGGGATAATCAGGATAGAGATAATAATGACGA